TATATATATATATATAAACTTGAGCTTTTTCAAATCTTAGATTACGATGTTCTTGGAAAATAAAAAATATCTTCCAAAAAATTTTAACTTTTTTAAGAATCGGATTATGTATTTAGCTTTCAAGCTTTCAAAGGTTCTCAAATAGTTAAAGCTTTTCACAGAACACACTAATCATTTTTTAAGAACAGATTTCTAGATTTCTGTATAATGTTTTAATCTTTAAAATGTTGGTATCCTAAATTATATTTAAAATTCAATTTTCTCGAACGCTCATAGATATATATGATTCTTAAGACACTTATCTTAATCTTTATATTCCTACACTTTAAGATTCAAAATGTTTTGATATTAAATTCTAAAATATCTTTAAAGTTTTTACAAAAAAAAATACTAGCTTTAAAAACAACTAAAATGATAATTAAAATAAAATTAACATAAAATTTTTACATTTTTATAATGAAATCTTACATTGACAAATAAAATATACAAATTTCAATTCTACCTGCTACTGTTACCCTCCTCTTTCAACGTTCTGTAATCGTCGAGTCAGAAGCATGCAAAATCGTAGTTGGAGCATTGATGTCTTCTTTGTAATCGGATCTAATTGAATAGAAAGCTTGTAGTATTTTGATCTGAACAGAAAAAACTAAATGGCAATAGCACAATATAGCCCATCAAATAACTCGAAGCAAGTTCTCTTCTTTCTTCTCTCTTGTATCTTCATATATCCTTTCTCAGTATACAATCACCATTGTTAATTCTAACCGTCGCTCTTTCCTCTCTCGTGACTTTTCTGCAAGCAGTTTCTACTATCGACGGAGATTCCATCCTTTGCTAAATTCTTTTTCTCGAGCACACGCGTATTATCCATGCAAACAGGCTCGATACAGTTCGTCGTCTTTGATGCCTGATGCAAAATGGAAGAACACTCACGCTTCGAAACTGACTCAGTCTTCATTGCGTTTCTCGCCAGGAAGAAGGATATCAGCAGCTACGTGTCACTGTGTGTCGACTTGGATGACGCGTTTTTAAGATATAGGACATTCGGCTCCGCTTAACAAAGTGGTTCTTCCAAAGGTCAACAAGGGGGAGCACTTCGAGGTTCTTCGCCACACAGCAAGTGACTCACATGGAACAGTCCCCTCAGGATTCTCTGGAAAGTGCATTGAGCGACAAGACTGGCTGTGTTGCCAGGATTTAGATGGGGCTAGGAAGCAGCCAGCGAGCCTAATCCCGGCGAATTCTGATTACTCTGCACCGCCTGTGCGGGCACCTGATTGTAAGGATGATTGCTGTTGCACAACACTGTGTAGATATTTTCCACATTGCTGAGCTTCTCGAAAAAAGGGATTAAATCCAATAACTCGGAATCCGTCATGTCATCAAACCAAGATGCCACTGGAACCTGTAAAAAATAAATGTCGTTCTTATTTTTATATATAATTATTCAATTTTAATATATTTTTATAGAAGTGAAAAATAACATTATAAACATTAAAATATAAATTATCTTTTTAAATATTTTAAATATTTTTTTAATATGTTATCAAGCATATCTTACCGCGTTATCTGGATGAAAAATATAACTGGCAGGACTATTATCTACAATAATGATTTGCTGCAAATCACGACCTAATTTGTTCAAATCCTTAACATAATTCCCTCTATGAAACACACAAGATTCTCTGAATAATCTTGCTCTGAATACACCCCATCGATCTAATAGATCTGCCACTGGATCTGCATACTGTAAAACACCACACAATAAAACAAAACATTAAACAACAAATATATCCAAATTTTTTGTTGCAAGTTTTCTTTTTACTAATCAGTTCCATTACAATTTTCTTATTGTGGTAGATGTTATTATCAAAATTTTTACGACTGACTTTACACAGTAATAATTTCTATAACAATGAGTTAATTCTTTGTTTAAAAATATAATAATCTTGTGTAAGATATGTAGTAATATAGATGGAGATAATATTTAACATAATTAATATAGTATTTCAAATCTATTATTCTAATCTTCCATTGGCTAACAAATTCGAGAAATAAAGAATTTTTGCAAACCAATCCTCACATAAATAAATAATAAAACATTAAATAGTCTCTCATAATACTTTGAATTATATCAATATATAATAATCTAACTAATCTATAACTTGTCGAATTATATCAATATGTAACTAAAACTTATTTATTTTATACTTATTAAATGTATACAAATTTTTAATCTTTTTCTCTTTTTCTTTAACGTACCTTAGCTAAGCTTGCAGTGAACAATACGCATTCGTATAATTCACCCATTCTCTGCAAAAACTCGTCCACATAAGGCCTCTTTAAGACGTACACTTGGTGTACTGTTCCATCAATCTCTACAGGAACAACAAAGTCTGCATTGTTGATTGGCTTGAAAGAACTATGCACCAGGGTCTCATCCAAATCAATTACCATGCACTTCTTGTGCATGTCTTGGTGCTTGACTGGTGGTAGAAGAAATCTCGGAGATCCGGTGCCTGGTGGTGGCGAGCCACGACCGTCTCCTTGTAGAGAACTCGACTTGGAGCTCTTTGAACTGCCACCACGACCCCTTCCGAAGCAGCAGAGCAGAGAGCGCAGGAGTCCGCGCCCTCTCGGCTTCTTGCCGCTCGATGGATTATTGCTGGCTGCTTCATTCTCCCGAGGTAATTGAGCTACATTGCACAGAAAAAAAAACGTTACAAACTTGTTAACGCAAACAAATTCAATCAAATTTTATCAACAGTTACAGTTTACAGTAATCACAAATCTGATATTCCTGATATAAACTTTAAGTTATCTTAAGATTCAATTATTGACAACAATAATGTTACACTAAGAAGCTTTTATTTTACATTGAAAATACATTTGTATCTTATATATCATAGAAATGGCATTACTTCGATTAACCTTTTATAGTAAATCTTTTTTGTTATTTTCTATACAGAGTACCCTTAGAGGATTTGCTCAAAGCATGAAAGGTTAAAGGGCATAACGTAGTGTAAAGAAATAAAGACATTTGTGATATGCTTATGGAGAATGGGAGAAAGGGGTTGAAAGAGATGACAATAAAGAGATGAGAAGCAGAAGGGGATGAAGAACAGCAGACGGAGACGAGCAAAATTGTTCGCAGAGAGGAACGGACGAAACGGACGAAGAGAGGAGAAGTGGTAAAGTTAAACGAGATTTAGAAGAGAGAAACGGCGGGGGTTCCGTAACAGGTGCAAAGGCAACGAAACCCCGGCATCTGGCGGAAAGTTTTGCGAGCGCGAGGACGAGGACGACGATTGTACGGGACTGATACGCACCTTTCTCGCTGTTGAATGCGCCTAGCTCGTCATCCCGCGACACTTGGGTGATAATGGACGATGCGTCCATTTAAACATTAGTCGGTGGTCCCTGCGTGCACGATCGCGAATTCCGTTAACGCGCGCGCGCGCGCGCCAGTCGACGGACAGACGGACACGAGCGAGCGAGCGAGCGAGCGAGTGAACGGGCCAGCGCGCGCGACAGACACAGAGAGAGAAAGGGAGGGGGAGAGAGACAGCGCGACAATCCCGTGAGCGAGACGGAGAGCCGCGATTGGTACGCGCGTGCGAGAAAAAAAAAGGGAGAGAGCGCGACACACACAAGCTAATCTCACTCTCTCGTTCGCGTCACTCCCCACCACCACCACCGCGTCGTCACTGCCGCCGTCGCCGTCGTTCCCCTCCCGCTCCGTAGATCCCCGCGCGACGAATGGAGACGCATAGGCGCAGGAATGACACACACATACAACACTGTACTATGCGCGAAAAGCGCGTATGACATACACACTGGATCAACTGCGAGCGGCGAGCGCTTGAATCGGAGCAATGATTCCTGTCGGTCGAATGTTGACGACGATGATGATGATGATGATGATTCGGAACGACGCTACGAGCCACGTCGAGCGTCTTCGTTGTCCCGGAATGCGTGCATACACGTGCGCACTACGCCATTCCTCGTCGCTCGCGGTAGCTCCGGGGGAACGCGCGCGCCTTTCCTTTTTCACGCGCCACACCTATCGCTGCCTATATCGCCCATTGCGCAGTTCATTGGTATTCATTCCATGACGGTGCATCGCCTCGGCATGGTTTCGCTTCGTGGAACGGGGCGAACGACGTTCGATACGCGTGCTTTCGGCTCGCGCGGATACGTAATTCGATAATTCTCGTTTATGCGCGCAACTGCGATGTATAAAACTTGGTCATGTTGTCGGCGGCGCCTAGCCTTGAACCACGAATGAAAGTCTACTTTTCGAAATTGATCGACGTATATAGCTTCATCCTTGTGGCCGTGACGCGGGTGTCTTGATGTAGAGAATTTTTACGCGTCTAATGTCGTGCGTACACATGCTTCGCTCTGAAATAACAACCAGACACAATCTACAACCTTGTCATATTATAATAACTTTATATGAGTAGCTTTAATGAATGCGCGATGAAAAAGAAAGAAAATATACGTACATATACATCTCAATCGCGACTTGCGATGTAATTGGACAATCTTCAAACGTGAAACTAGGTGCATCCAGCACGACCACTCACTGAGCCTCAATGAACACCCTAGATTTGTCTACTGAAGAGCGTTCGAAAATCTTACTCTTAGGATTGAGTACCATTGAATCTAACAATCAGAACAAAGAAATCTTTGCTCTTTTTTTGTTCTGATTGGTCAATTAAACGCTACTTTACTCCAAGAGTAGAATTTTCGAACGCACTCCTGGATGCAAGCTGATTACAATTTACAGTATCACTGTCGCAATTTTTGTGAGCGTATTTTTCTATCGCTTACTTAGCACTCTTTTCGCGCCAATTCTTTTAATGCAAATAATTAAAAAATTAACATTTAAATATTTATAGATACTATACAGGGTGTCCCAAAGCACCCTTGACAACGCTCGTGAGCAAGTAGAGCACAGTAAACTGAACAGAAATGCTTTGGGACACCCTGTATATTTATATATAATTATATATTTTTTGAAATATATTTAAACAAATGTTTCTTTTTTGCATTGTTCTTTATTAAAATATATCTTAAATTGTTGCAAACAATTTATTATCGAGCTGAGAGTTTCTTTTTGATCACTTTCTATATGAAAGTTTTAAGATATTTTCCAATATGTAAAATTGTAGAAGATACCATATATTGGTGCATATTTCTTTTCTTTTTTAATACTTGACGCGAAATTAATTTTTTGCAAATTTATTATTTAAGTTTAATTAAAAAACAGTGCACTTTTCTTTATGTGCTTTAATTATAAACATTTAGTTTGTTATACTTTATCGTATCAACTTTTTATCTTTAATCTTGACAAATTTACATGCTCTTATTTTAAAGACAGCTTGATAGCAATAAATAAATTTATTAATTCATAAAAACAAATATTATCTATATTCAATTATCTATGTAAGTGGGTTCTAATCATCTTTGTAGCTGTACTGTCCTTAAACATGGCTTCCCGTGCCTTCTTTCAGCTTCTTCGAGAAAAGCATTCTCCATCTGTCTTACAATCTCATTGAAAAATAGATTTGATAAATGAGAATAAATGGCAGACTTAAATTCAAAGGACAAGGAGAAATCAATCACACATGTTTCGGGATTGTTTTTCAATCCAGGGCTAAAAAGCCACAGAGTATTCAAGTGATCGAACAATCTGCCGTCTCTACATTCTGCTTTAACTACTCTTGGATATATCATGGTCACCTTTGAACTATAACTTTCGTTTATAGGTGGGAATCCTATTACTAAATTGGCCTTTAGGAAGTCTTCATTTTTTAAAGTAATTTCAGATTTCTTGCAAAAGGGTATAAAGTCCTTGTAACTTCCTACATCGGCAACCACGTAATACATTTTCTCCATTGAAAACCTAAATAATGAGTGCTGTATTATATTAATGTCATTTTTAATGGCACAATCTGCATTAAGAATCCAAAACTTAAAATGATATTAATAAGTAAATATATCAAAATCTCGAATAAATAATTTACAATAAATATGAAATGTGATTTAATATCATTCTTTAGAAAATAGTATAAAAAGTAAAAACAGTAAAAATGAATAAAAATGGTGTAAATAGAAATGTAAAAGATCTTTATAAAATTTAATACTTTTTCTTACCCTACTAATTTGCGACCTTCGTATTCTTTGGTTTTATAACTTGCTCGTGTTCTGTACATTCGCCACAAGCTCCGCTTGGAAGAATCGTACTTCCATGTCAATATCAATTGTTTTAGAAAAACTGCATGCCTAAAGTTTTTTTATATACAACTGAATGTGTGGAGAGAGAATAATAAATCGTTTCAAATTTAATTTAAAGTATCAACATCGTCTGAAAACAAGCATTGTTTTCGACAGAAAAATTTAACTCAAATTGTCACGTACAATTTCGTCAAAGTAGAATTCCGTGAAATACGTTACCTGCACATGTCGAGTATATAAAATACTCAATTCCGTTGTGATATTTGGTGATTTGCATTTAGCTTTGACACATCGAAATTATAACCTTAAAATCTCCTTATATATATTACATACTCCAATATTATCTTGTTTACATATAATCGTTATTCAATATCTAATTACATATTATGTAATCACTTTTATTTGTCTAATTTATGCATATAATAAATCTAATGCCATAAGTGCGTTCGAAATACTGAAACTTAAATTACTGATGTATATATACATAAGCAAGAAAGGGGGAGGGGGGGGGGGGG